GACCGGTCCGGGCGGGAAACGGGGACACGCGGACCCGGGCCCACTGCAGTGCCGCGCTCGCCCGCTCTCGGGCCGCGGGTTGTGGCTCAGGGCGAGGTGCGTCGGCAGCCGGTGGCAGCGGGACTGTGAGGAGAGGCTGCCCGGCCCCTGGGAGTCACTCCCTGTGGGGAGGCTGAATTCGCCCCCCCCCCCCCCCCCGCCTTCCCCGAGTACCACTGGGTAAAGTAAGACCAGCCTCCTTTAGTAGTAGTCTAGCTTGTGCCAAGTCCCCACCCTCAGCCCAGGCCACCTGTGCCCTTGGCAGCTCCCTGCGCTGGAGAACAGGCCAGGAAGTAGTTGGATGCTGGTGCCCACCTCACTGGACCTGAATCCGCTGCTCACCTCATCCCAGTTTGTGAGAACAAAATAGGCATCATCTCACCTGCCTGTAAGCAAGGCTGGGGCCTGGGCTGTCCTGTGAAAGCACTGAAGATGTAGTCACTTGCTTTCATGGCGGATTTTGAAGAAGGGTGTGGATGGTGAGGTGCACCATTGCCTATAACTCAACATATGTTTTCCTCCAGTTAAAAAGAAACTAGAAGATTGAGTCGCCAGGGGCCTCGGGATAAATTATTCAGTTTAAGATTGAAGGGAAAACAAATATTACTTTACTGGAATAAGTTAAAAACAAGCAAGTTAAAAAATAGGAGGGTCATTACCAGGAGACACTTACAGACAGCAGAATTGCAGAAGAGAAGATAGGTTGGTTAATGGAACATCAGGACCATTAAAAAAAAGAGATGGTTATTAGCACATGTGAAATGAAGAGTTTAGAAGGAATCAGGGAGATGATAATGAGCCATGAAATGAATTGATTCTCTCACTGCTGCCTGAGTAGAAATGCTCGTGCCACTGCCAGATAGTTGGTTTTAGATCTTGGGTGGGGCAGGAATCAAAAGCGGGCGGAGGGAGGGGTGGCTGCATATTCCCCTCCTCCCATCTGTTTTTATTTGCTTTTGAGGCTGAACAACTTTATTAGAATGAAGAAACCCGTATCATCTCTAAATCTTTCATTCTCTTTGTTGGGTTCATAGCTCAAGCACTATGATGCCTGATCTTGGGCTGTATTTAAAGAAGTAGTACTTATTTTCATATTTTGCCTTCTCTTTTTGAAATGGACGAGTTTTAACAACTATTAGTATTTTGACAGCATTATTATCCAGATGATTCACAGTTTGTCCAAACCTGTTGGCTATGAGAGAGACTTTATCCAATTGATGTCCCTGAATTATCAAATCCCAAAGGTATAAACCCAGTAGGTTTAGGATTCTTCTTATCAAGATCCTCTCCCTTTTCTCAGGCCATGACATAAGGGCTAGCGGGGTACTATAGCAATTAATCTGTGTTTGGCATTGGCTGTTTTGGTTGCCTCCAGGTTCTGCATACTTTGGTTAGCCTAACCTTGTTGGTGCTGAGATACTGTGCAACTTTACCTGTTGTTACTGGATGTATCTTTCCTCATTCAGCCATAGGTCTCTTTGTTTACACTTGGGTAAGCTTCAGCAGCATTCTGGTATTTAAAGGATAAACCCTCATGTTTCATACAAATGGCATCTTTCAACTTGACATTCTTGAAGCAGGGCCACTTAGTATAGAAGTCAGCAGTTTTATTCTGATGTGTTGCCTCATGAACAGGGATGGGGGTGATGGGGGTGCTAAGGTGTATGGTTGATAGTCCAAAGGTTGCAAGTTTGAGGCTATAATAGAAGTGTTCATGATGCAATCCTGTCAGATTCCAATGAATCTACAAATTTTGCTATGTACTTTGTCACAACGCACAGAATCAACACCTGATTCTATGGGAAATGAGTAAGGGCTATGGCACTAAGTTTGGGTGCAGCAAAAGAAGCTGATCCAAAGAAAGGATCTGAGAGTTGCAACACTCAACGTGGGAAGTATGACAGGAAGAGGTGGAGAAGTGGTGTTCTTGTTGGAAAGGAAGAAAGTACATATTGCATGTGTGCAGGAAACAGAGAGACTGGTGGAGGATTTATAGGAGTGGAGACAGAAGAAATGGAGTCAGGATGATCCTGTGCAAAGAACCAAAGGACAAAGTGTTGGAAGTTGAAAGGAAGAATGACAGGATTGTGAGAGAGAAACTGGACAATGGAGGCCAATTGATGAGCGTGATGAGTATGTATGTCCCACAAATAGGGAGTCCAGTAGAGAAGGAGAACTAGGAAAAGGTGGATGAGATGATGCAACAGGTTCCAGACAGTGAAGTAGTCATTGTGGGGGTAGACTTCAATGGACAGATTGGGCAAAGTAGAGATCGCTACATGGGGGGGACATAGATTCAGAGACCTCAATGCAGAGGGGGAAAGGATAGTAGATTCTGCAGTATCTTACGGTCTCGCAATTTCAAATACATCCTTCCAGAAACAAGAACATCTGATCATGTACAAGAGTGGACATAGAGAAACTCAAGTGGATTATTTGCTAGTGAGGAAATGGGGTTGGAAAGAGGTGAAAGACTGCAAGATGATCCCAGGAGAGGAAGATACCATGCAACTTAGAATGGTAGTCATGGACATGAGGGTGAAAGGAGTGAGACATAGTTTTCCCAACTCTTTGATATTTAGTAAGTGCTAGAGGTTGCAGCAGGAAAAGAAAACTAAGAGGGGCCTTCAGAGCAGGAGTGTTGGAAGAAATAGGTTGAAGAAATAGAAAACCCTGAAACTTGGTGGCAACAGGTAGTGGATAAGATCAGGAAAAAGAAATCTGAGGAGCGCCATCTAGAAAGATGCCCATCAGGAAGGAAATGTGGTGGTGGAATGAAGAAGTCCAGAAAAAGGTACGGGAGAAAAAAGAGAAGTGTAAGAAAAGGAAAGATGCAGGAGACCCTCTGGACTTTGATGCATACAAAGTAGAGAGGAAGAGTGCAAAGAGGACTGTTGTTAAGGCCAAAAACACTGCAATGGACGATATGTATAAAAGGCTATAAACAAAACAGGGACAGAAGGCAGTGTACAGGACTGCTAAGAGAAGAAAGAGATTGATGAGAGATGTAACGTGAGAATGATCAAAGATGAGTCTGGGAGACTGGTGGCGAACGAAGAAGAGATTAAGGACAGGTGGAAGAACTATTCTGAAGATCTGATGAACAAATAGAACCCAAGAAGTTTGCAAGCAAATGCCACAGAAAGCCAAGGCATGGTGACGGATATCAGCAGAATGGAGGTGAAAAGAGCATTGAACAAAATGAAGAATGGTAAAGCAACAGGACCTGATGATATACCAGTCAAAGTTTAGAAAGTCTTGGGGGAAGAAGGAATCAATATATTGTGTAAGCTGTTTAAAGAGAAGTTTGCAATGGAGAAGATGCCAGGTGAATGGAGAGGGAGTGTGTTGGTGGTGATATTCAAGCAGAAAGGTAATGTCTAAGATTGTGGCAACTGTCAGGGAGTCGAATTGATGTCTCACACTTTGAAAGCATGGGAAAGAGTGGTGGAGAATCAGCTAAGGACTGAGATAGTCATTGGAGAAGGCCAGTACAGATTCATGCTGGGGAGAAGTATCATAGATCTGGTTTTTGCAATAAAACAAATGATGGAAAAATACAGAGAAGGTTATAAAGATATCTATTTCATTTGTATTGATCTGGAGAAAGCCTATGATCATGTACCCAAGGAAGAACTATGGGAGTGTCTAGAGAGTTAAGGTGCCAGAGAAATATGCCAGAACCATCAAGGACATTTATTGGAAATGTACATTGAAAGTGAGAAGCAGCTCAAGAGAGAGAGAGAGTTTTGAGGTGAAGTTGGGCATACGTTAAGGGTCAGCTTTGAGCATGTTCCTGTTTGCAGTACTGA